TCTCCCTGTGTTGAAGTTGCCAGCATTGAGCTCTCTTGTGCCCTGGTTCATTACAGTGCCAGCAAAGTCCCTCAAACTTCTCTGAAAGCTGACCTCTTCTGTCCTTGAATTCTGATGACTGCACCAACCTTGGTACCTCTGTACTGGACTTAATGTAGGATTCTAATTCAAGAGCTCTGGCCATTGCATCCTGTACAGTAGAGGGGTGTGCTTGCTTTACTTGTATCTTAAGTTGTGGACTGTCCAAGGCATGTACAAACTGATCCCTCAGCAACAACTTGAGGAGATTGGGTGGTGCAGTTGGGTAGGCCTTGTGTGCCATACTTTCCAAGTCCTGTGCAGGCTCTCCCCTTTAGCACGGACTCTCGTCCTGAACCTAGCCCTGTAGACTTTGGACTGATTTTGAGTTCCATACCTAAGTTCTAGAGCAGCTACCAGTGCTCAATAGTTGTGCCTATCGTCTGCTGACAACTGTCCAAGTATTTCCAGTGGTTGTCTTTTCAGGCTTGTTGTCAGATATACTGCTTTCTGCTCCTCTGTCCATTTATCTCTGACAGGAGCTCAAATTGTGCTCTATATGCTTCACCCAGTACCTTCCCATCGAATTCCTGTGGCTTCCTTTGTACTAGATCACCCCTATTGCTGACACTCATGTCTGGAATGTGACTTCTGGCAGGACTGAAGATGTCTGCATTAGGATTTAGATGCGGGGTCTCGAAGGGGCTTCCTGTTGTCTGGGGCTGATTAGGTCCATGGCTAATATATCCTCCTTGTGTAAAAGACAATAAATCATCCTTTAATGTATTTAATTCGCTTTGAAATTTACTAATGTTTTCCATTCATACTTCATGCCACTGTTGTTGATTTTCCTGTAGTTGCTGCTGACTTTCCTGCAACTGTTGGAGACTTTCTTCCTGTTTCCTTTTTTGTTCCAGTTGCCACTGCTGTAATATCTCTTCTTGTTTCTTTTCTTTTTCCTCCAACAAATGCTGTAATCTCTCTTGTTTATTTTGGTGTTCGATCTGCCATTGTTGCAGGTTTTCTTGCCACTGCTGTAATCTCTCATCTCGTTTCTTTTCTCGTTTCTCTTGTTTTTTTTGCCTCCAACAACTACTGTAATCTCTCTTGTTTATTTTGCTGTTCGAGCTGCCACTGTTGCAGGTTTTCTTGCAACTGCTGTTGTCTCTCTTCTTGTTTCTTTTCTCATTCTTCTTGTTCCTTTTGCTCTTCTTGTATTGCTGCCATCAAATCTGCTAAGCTGTTGTTTGATTTGCCATTTCTCGTTTCAATCTTCTTTTTCTTTTTTTTTAGTCACACTCTCTGACACCAATTTGTAACGTCTCTGGTCGTTTGTTAATTTTCCGGTATAAATTTGTCCCGAGGAACTTCAGCGATACAAGTTCTTTCTTAAATAAAACTAGGTTATTCTTTCTCAATACAACTTTGCAATACACAGAATTTCCACAGTCACTTTAACTTAAACACACGCTATAATTCACAATGATTCACACACTTATCTGTCTATCTGCTATTCTCTATGCCGTCACTTCTTCCCTCCGCTTTATTTGCCGGGCTTATATATAAGAAAATAGAGGGCGTCTAGCAAACACTCGAGCTTTCACGATCCTTCTAGAAACTCATCACGTGTTACCAGCGTCACCTGACTTCTGCTGTCGTAATAATATGTAATGGATATGACCAGTCATTAAAAGATAAAATATTAAACTTTTTCATTAGATTTTGAAAATAACTCTTTATTACTTCTAAAGCACAGTTTCATTTATTAGGATAATAAAACTAGTCTTTTCTTCAGTTTTAAAATTTTTAGCTTGTGTATATCTGAAAACACAACTTTTATTCAATTATTAAGTTGATTTTTTAGTTTATTGAAAATAATATTCTTGTGTATTTTGATTTCTCAGAAAATCTAGAAGTTAAGGTGAGTATTGCTTCCAAAGAATATAAAACAGGTTCTTCTCTTCAACTGGACTGCAAAGTTACAGGCCCTGAAGACACCTCTGTGGAATGGTATTTGGATACAAGGTCTTCTCCAATACAAAGCAATGAGAGATTACAAATTTTTAGTAACAATTCCTTGATCATACAAAGAGCTGAGCAAAGTGACAGTGGTGTTTACAGGTGTGAAGCAAAAAGCAAGTACAGTGAAGCTTCAAGTTCTCTATCTCTCATTATTGAAGGTACTAGTCTGAAATTATTATATCATTGACTTATTATAATTTGTCTAGTATATATTGAGAAATAAGGTTATTATTCTTGTTATGGAATATCAAGGAAATAGTTCAGGTAAGATTAACTTGTAATTTTTTGGAGTAGGTATTGAGAGGTAAGATTAACGCAGCAAGTACGAAGACAAGATTGATTAGTTAAAGTTTGGTTGTCACTTAATGTACAAAGTAGTGCTACAAGTTTGGTTAAGTAAAATTATGCTTT